ATAATAAATACATGCGAATATGGGTTCATGTACAGTTTCTGTCCCATCATGTGAACGTTTCTGCCTCTGAAATAAGCACCAGGGCTACGTCTATTTGCTGGTGTTCGAACTGGAGGCGGCCGCAACAAAAGCAAAAAGGCGCATCTGAAGGCGCAAAGGCTGCGCTGAAACAACTGAAGTTTGAAGGGCAGCTGACTGAATAACATCACCGTGTTTCTTAAAATATGACTTTTAGCTTTAAATTAAATTAAGACTTGAATTCCTTCCCTGCAGGTTTTTGAGCTTTTTTTAAAAAAATAAAAGAAAACTTTGACTGGACCGGTCAGGTCCTCACCCCGGCAGGTGCTCGGGCCTGAAACACTGAACTGCTGAAATGTTTCAAAAGTGATGAATTAAAAATAATCTGTTTAAATGGACCAACAGAAGTCAGTCTGCAGTTTAAGATGAGTGTTTTAAATAAGCGGCAGAAAAATTAGGGGGAAAAAATCTAATAAAAAAACTTAAAATAATTGAAATGATGTGATTTTTACCTTTTTTAAACACAAAACGAATAAATAATAACAGAGAAAATAAAACTCGAGTTTTAATTTGAAGATTTTTTCTGAGTTCAAGACAATTTTTTTTCTTTTTAAAGCTGATTTCTTCTGAACGAGTGAAGAATTCAGACTTTAGTCTGTTTTCATGTTTCTTCAGCTCAAACTGCAGCAGAATAAAATACTGTTTCTTCAGCTTCCTTCCTCCTCTTCAACAAGTGGTTTCCACTAACAAACAGACTTTTAGTGTCCTTAAACTCAAAACAGAAAAAGAAACTTGTGTTTGATTAATAAAACATATAAATGATTAAAACTCTTTGTTTTAAAGCAGCTTTAACCCCTCTTGTCTGTTCAGAAGGTAAATGTGTTTGGACTTAAATAAAATCTCAGTATGACCAAGTTTTGTTTTGTTTTTTCACAATGAAYGGAGCATGTTTTATATCGTGTTTTATATCCTGAGTGAACAAAAAAGAAATTAGGAATAAAAAATCAGAAAATTTCTCAAGTTTTTTTTCCCCTTATACATTTTTATTTATTTGTATTTTGTAAAAGTTTAACAGTTTTAGGCCCACTTTGTTTCTAAACAGCACATATTTACACAACAAAAACAAAAACAATAATGAAGCTGGAGACTTATTTCAGACATCATGTTTGTTTGTAATTTTTTTTCTCTTTTGTCTGTTTTATTAATTTAATACTTTTAAAAATTAGTTTATTTGATAAACATAAGTTCTTGACATAACACAAAGGTTCCTGCTGAACTGAAGGTCTAACATATTTCATGATTTAAACTCAACAATTATAATTCAATACAACAGGATTAAGTCTCAACACTTTAAATCTAAATACTAGTTACTAATTTGCATCATTTTAATGAAAAACCTCTAGTGAACTTATTTTAAGCAAGACTTACATTAGAAGTTATAAATCTATAAACTTGTTTCCTCTAATTCAGGGGTTTTCAACCTGTGGCTTTGGAACCACGTGTGGCTCGTGGGTCCTTCATATGTACTACATAATTTAAGTTTCATGAAAAGCAAGCATCAAGAGAGTCACTGAAATCAATCAGAAAGAGACCTATTTGAGCAACATGTAAATAAAAATAAATGTTCAGATAAAAACTTAAAACTTTATTTAAAAAAATTAACAAGTTTGTTTTTATTACAAGAAAGTCATGAAATTACAAAACCTGGTCGAATTATGTCCACATTAATATTAATTAGGATGCGTGAAGCTTCATTGTTTTTTTCTAAATAAAATGTTCTGTTAACCTTGTAGTTTAGTGTTTAACTTGGATCAGAGGTATAAAGTATCATCCTTTCTCATCTTTGTGTAAATACTGATATAATGTCATTGTATTTCATTAGGTTCATAACTGAACAAACTATGTATAAAATGATTTCAAGCTTCAGCTACATTTTACAGCTTTCATCTGAGTATATATATATTATTTTTTATTTATGCAGCTTTTTAATGTTGCAAAAAATAATGTTGCAAAATTATTTTATACATGCAAAAAAACTTAACCTAAAAAAGAAAATTATGTTTAGATAAAATAATAAATGAAAGTCTCCACTTTTTAACATCAAAACAAAGTAAAGTGACTTGAAGATTTGTATAAAGCAGCTCCTGCTGCCCCCTAGCGGCGGCGTAAAGAAATGACGCACAAACCTTAAACACACTAACTCGTTTATTCATTAAGTTTGGATTTGTAAAAAAACAAAACAAAAACAAAAAAAAAACCTTTACATCCACAGGGAGCAGATCTCAACACCACTACATTCATGAAACACTATAAACAGAACGCTGACCTACAAGTAAACAACAAAGACTTGTACAGCCACAGCCTGGTGTCTAAACTGAAGAGCAGCCGTTTGGTTTAAGGCGACTACATTCAGCAAAAAYATCTAAAACAATAAAAACTAAACTCGACTCACTGACAGGAAATGTAAATAAGATTATGGCACTTGATTTGTGAAGGCAACAACACTCAGTTTGTTGCTTTTTATCTAATAAGAAAAATAATAATAAGCCAACGTCAATGCGTTTTTCCTCACTGGTAATTTGTTTGTGTAGAAAAAAAGGAGAAAAATGCGAGGAGCTGAACGTTGGAATGAAAGGCACTTCTGTCAATTGAAACAAAAACATGGTTTTACTCCCTAAACTTCGCTCAACTGATCGGAGGTCGTTCTACACCAGGAAAAATAAAGAGATCACCGTGAATTAATCAAGATGCAAGTTCCAGTGCAACAACAAAACACGTTTAAAAACAGGCTAAATCTGAACCGTTAACGTTACAAATGAAAAACAGAAATCAGACCACGACAAATGTGGAAATGCAAAACATTTTCATCTTCAACACCATAAAAACACTTTTTGTCAAAGCAACAGCAATGCATTTAGGCTTCCACTTATTGGTTTGATTGTAAAATTTTGTAAAAAAACAAAACGGGGAGMTGAGAAAGAATACGCAGCAGCAGGAAACTAACATCCCTCAAATTAATCCACCGTTTGGTGTCGATGTCTGATAGTTAAAGTGAGAAATGTATGATTGAAAACCCTGAAACGTGGCGACAGATTTCTGCCATCTACCTGCAAAACGACTCGTTTCCTCCTGTGGAGAAGCTGCAAACGCCTTCATTTAACCCTAAAACAATAACCTCTTAAGTAGGTTCTCTGTGAAAACAGAAACAAGCATGAGCAGTTTAACGGAGAGGATGGGTTAAAGTACAACTGGAAGATTTGTTTAACATCAAACACTGAGCGTGCAGAAGCGTCAGGCTGGTTCCTGTTCAGATCAAGAGTCTCTGCTCAGTTCAGCTTTATTCCTCCGAACTGATCGGATTTAAACTTTATTATTATTATCATTATTATTATTATTATGTGACAGAACAGCCCTTCTGTCCACCTTTAAAYCCAGAAGCAGAGAAAAGGCCTGAAGTGAGCGACAGCTCGATGCTGCCCTCTGCAGGTTTAGGAGGCAAAACGCAGATTATTACAGGAAGTTTGGAGGAGTCCGATCCTGGTCCTGGAGGGCCACGATCCTGCAGGTTTGACTTGTTCCTCGGCTCCAGCGCACCTGGTTTGAATAAATGTGTGATTAACAGACCTGCAGAACTTGAAGAGGTCACTGAGTCAGGTGATGGAGCAGGGAAACAGGTCGAACATGCAGCCCTCAAAGACCAGCACTGAACAACTGTTTGGAGTGGGGTTCTGTGGAAACGTTATGAACAATTACTATCTTACGTGTTGCAGATAGCGCTTTGAACGACCTCAGTTTCATTTAAAAAAAAAAAACAGTTGATGAGCTCATGGCTAGCCAGAACTACAAGCTAATGATAAATTTAACAATGCCAGTTTTGCGATGCACGCTTTTTCCAAGAGAGATAACAACTTCCTGCTGGTAGTGCTACAGCTAGCTGCTGCTACCAACACATATGCTTGTAAATAAGGTCTAATTTAAGTAATATTGGTAGCTTTTAAGCCAGAATTTTAAGCTAAAATCATCTTATGGTGAGAAGTTGTGCGTGATCGCCTGCAGCAATACAAGAGTAGAGCTGACGCTTTACTTTAATATCTGTAAAAACAACTGAATTACATCTATAGTTGTGTTGAGTCGGCCATGTTGACTCCAAAAGCTCATCAGTTGTAGAGTTTTGTTAAAATCCTTGCAGTGGTTCATGAGATGTTTTGCTAACAGACAGATGTATGAGTCTTGGTTTTCAGCCATTTCTTCAAACTGAGGTGGTTCAAAGATTTATCTACGTCAGGTAAGATGTTGACAAAGTTTCGACCACCGTTGGGTTTTGCAGTAAAGGAATGTCTCCCGTGTTAATGTTCTCCGGGTGAGGGGCTCCTGCGCTGAACTCGGAGGCAGTGAGGACTGGAAGTGAGGCGGCGCGGCGCGGCGGACAGTTTGTTGGCTTCCAGGTTATCTCTGTGTGGACGATGACAGACGGGTTCCGTGCGGCAGGGCGGGAGCAGCTGGTGTCGTCTAGTCAAAGCCCTGCCAGTCGCTCTGCTCCGAGTCGTACTCCAGGTCCATGCCGATGCAGCGCACCCCCTCCAGCAGCATGGGCGTGCCGTGGTGACGATCTGGGAAGGAGGCGGAGATGGAAGGAGAACATTAATTAATCWAATCTGAGCGGGATATTCACAAAATTAGACGACAATAAATCTTTTTTTTTACATTATAGAGTTTCTTACAGCTATCAAGATATCAAAGATGGAAAAAAATCTGAAACATCTCTGGAGGTTTGTGTCTTTTCACAATTTTCATCTTAAATCAGCGCAAATTTCACACTACTTTAAAATAAATAAATAATAAAAAAACAGGAAACAAGGCTTATAAACAAAATAAATCTGCAATTTCAAATCTAGTTCATAAAAGTTTCCKTCAGTACTTGACAGAGCTGCAACTTGTTTGATGCCGATAGTAGCAAACGCTCGCAGGTTTGCCTCTTCTTTCAAAAAGTAACACTGTTAGCAAAATATCTTCTGAACCGTTGGACGGATTTCACCAACGACTCGATTCAAAACGGCCGTCACAGATTTATCCAAAAGAAAAACGATTCGCTGAGGTTCACTTTGTTGAGAGTCCTCCTCAAAACACTGAGCTCTAACAAGACATGGGGCGGTATGAAGCTCTGACTGTGGGAAAATATCTGTTATGATTCCAGCTCTAAAATAATTATTTTGAAATTGGTTTGTAAAAACTAAAATAGAAAATAACTATAGATGGTTCTCAAATGATTATAATCACAAAAAGCTCAGTATTATGCAGTATGTACCCATTTGTAAGATATATTTATCAGAGAAAGTCACACAGAGTCATGTCAACACAGCCTGTGTGTCGGCTCTGCAGACTTCAGCAGCTCRTAAGGATCGCTACTTTCAATAAAGCTAAATACCTTGATTTAGATTTATTATCCAGTAGATCCATGTGTGTCCTGAAAGGCACGTTTTAAATACAAAGTATTATTATCCTGGTCATGCTCGTCTGCGTCGGKCAGTGGCCTTTTTGCATTTTTTCTTCCTTGCTTTTGTGKTTCTCCCATACTGGTTTTATGGCTRCAAGCTAAATGCTAGCYCACRAACGGGGTGYGGAGGGTAAAAAAAGTCCCAGATGATGACGWCATTGAGAACCATCTATTATCTAATAGTAATTATCTTTGSAAGGCATTTAGGTGTAATGATGATGTGTTCATACTTRTGATTTTTAGCAMMTAATGCAACAGAGTTATCCTRATAAAGTTTACATAGTAAGATAACTRTTATTCCACTGCTTTAATAGTTAAAAAATCAGGGTATACTGCGCCTCAAGTCTTCTTTTTATTGATGTATCACGTCGGGAGTTTTTAWTATGTTTTAAATTTCAAAGAGGTGAAAGAACAGAAATCAMAAGTTTGATCATTTATGAGATGCATGTTGAGCTAAAGAGCTGCTTGGCTAACACTAGAGGCACTCGCCTTTCAATTAAAGACAATCCATCCACTCCAAAACACTTCTGCAGACAAGTTGTGACGACACAATAAACCACAGTAACACAGTGACCTGTTTCACTAATGCCTGATGCTAACGTTAGCTMGTTCATTTCAAGGTAAAAAAACTTTACCTGGTGGTTTACTATCGCGKTAGACTTTATTCTTTTAGACGGGGAAAAAAATTGAGGGACTCACTTCCTTCAGCCATCGTACAACCTGCAGAGCTGTCAGCCATATGTGTGGGTGCACGGGGGGAGGGGAAACCTCCACTTTCTTTYTGACGAGACTTAAAAAATGTTTATACCGTGGGAACAGCACGACAGACGGTAACCGTCCCATGCCTAGCTCTGACACACGTTTAAATATCGCACACCACTTTGTGAAGTTTGAGCAAAATGACCTTTTGTCATCAGGTCAGATGATCTTGGTTGAAATCTTTGGCAGGAAAGGGAGATTTATAAACAGCTGCAGCTAAAAAAAACCATGCCATGTTTGACTGTTTTTATTCAGTTTGACGTTGGATTCAGGGTGGGGGGTGTTAAAGGCAGCAATGCTTCTAAATATAACATCAGAGGTGGAGGCAGAGCTTAAGTCACTGATCTGGTTTCTATCCAGGCCTCAGTGACACACAGAGACATCTGGACAGATGTTCAGGCTGCAGGAGCAAAAACAAACAGGACTCATCGCAGATACACACATCATTTTCTATATTTACATAAGCACACATCAGTAAACACACAACCTTGTATTTCTACCCTTATTAGGATGGAGTTCCACCATAAATGAAATGGTCCTGAAGAGGTAACAAAAGCCTGGAGCACACACACACACACGCGCACACACTTCACCTAATTCTCCATCTGTTGACACAAAGGCCAAGAATCACTCAGTCACTCTGAGATTTAAATAAACCAAATGTTCATTTGTTACAGGCTCTGAGCAGCAGGAAGCACGGGAACGACAAAAACAAAAACAAGCAGCTTCAGCACCAAACAGCGTGGTAACAAACTGATGCACTCGTTGTTTATCTTTAAAGGAGTCATAAATTCAGACACATTTTTAAATGATTTGTTTATCAACTTTAAATATTTGGCTTCTGTTTTATAAATTGTCATTAAAAGTGACGTTACTGGACAACAACCAGCAGGGGGCAGCAATGCGCCAGTAAAGACCAGGGGAAAGCTTGTATATTTTAGAGTTTATGCATGTTTCAGTAAGTTAAATTTAAAACCTTTGAAAGACCTTTTAAGATCATTAGGAATGATATTTAAGACCGAACCGACGCATAAACAAAAACATTCAAATGATCCCAAAACTTTTAACATAGAAACCTTTTACTGCTATCAACTTAGCTATGAGAGAATATTTAATTTTAATACAAGAACACTAAATTATTTTAATGAAACGATCATATCTATGAGACCTTCATATCGACTGCTGTGAACTGCTTCCAAATGAGTGCAAAAATCACTGATATCAAGCAAAGTCTCATTGAAAACACACTTTCCCGTGTTTAAACCACAAGCAGAGGACATGACTGAACTTCTTAGTTTTTTGGGCGGGTGAACAAGCTGCTGTATGTGGGGGGGTTTTAATGGCAAAGAGGTCGAAAACATGGAAATAAAGTGTACCATTTTTGCCTGCAGTTATCATGGGATTTGTAGTTTAACGCATAAAAAGACWGGTAGCAAACGTAGCACTTCATGAAGACAGATCGCATCAACCTCTAATTACAGAGCTTTACTTTTGTTAATTTATGCAGCCAACACTTCTCTGGAATGATCGAAAGTGAAAAAATTAAGACTTGACAAAATTAAATTTAAGAACTTGGATGAAAATCTGCATGTTTTTAAGACTTTTTTAGGCTTAAAATTCAGATTTTCAAATTTTAGAAATTTTTAGACTTTTTAAGACCCTGCATGAACCCTGATTCATGTCATCTTGCAAAAACAAAACAGGTGATTAGTTTTACAATAATTTTTACAATTTTTAATTTTTCATTACTCAACACAATAAATATTTAGCAAATGAATCACATGAGTGTGCTTGTGCAACATTCAAAGTTTCTTTTTTGCCCAGTTCAACTGTAAACCATCCACTGGTTTCTATTCTGCTGCAGTAAGAACAGTTTTTCCAGGCGGTGCAGTGAAGATGTTTAAAATGAAACCTCACCCATGACTCTGGCGTGAACTTTGACTCGGACACAGACGTCGTCGTTGGTCTCGCTCAGCAGCAGCACCTCCTCGCACAGGACCCCCTCCTGCTGGGCCAGGTACTCGCACGTTACCTTTAGACCCCCTAAAAAACGTGCACACAAAGACAAAAAAAAAAAAAAAAAAAAGACAAGTACTGAGTTTCCTCTCATCACCAAGCTTCACAGAGGACTTCTTTCACTGTTAGCATAATAACCTCCAGCCTGATAAATAAATAAATAGATAAATAAATACCCAGTCGGCCGAGCACACGGGATGACAGCTGATTTAGAAGTAAACAAAGAGCRGGCGCAGCTGTTACGTCAGCTGAAGCACGTACGCCGACAAACACGCCGACTCATGTAAAGCGTGTCGTGAACTCAGAGTAAAGGTCAGAAACCGTCCTCAGTTACAGGCATGTAGTGGGTTTTACTGACACACGCCAGAGGATCACCTTCAGCTCGTTTTAGCAGCTTTAGAGTTATAAATGTCTCCAAGCACCAGATTTAACCCACAGAAGCTGGTGATGTTTGGACCCGACTACCTGCGAGTGAAAGCCGAGAGCCTGGAATTCAGCACACAAACATTTTAGTTTCAGAAGCACATTTTGACTGCTGGCTGGTGCCAAAGTGTCAAATATCAGCTGGATGGTCTCTGAGTGGATGTAGAGTTAAATGATGAGGTTAAAACTCTTTTTTTTAAACCGCATCACAATCAAAAGAGAAAAGAAATCTTATAAACATGTTAACAAATCCAGATATTGGTACAGTTAGGACGCCAAGATTTATACGAGGCAGAAAAGGATCCATCATCTTTTATCCACTTCAGGGTCACCAGAGTCACTGGTGCCCATATCCAGCAGGCATTTAGCTGTCAGGGCATTTTAACGACACCCTATTGAGCAAAGATTTAAAGGCTTCGACTTAAAACGGCTTCAAAATTAAAAAAAAAAAAAAAAAAAGAATGACGTGGAATAAAAAAATGAAGCAACAGCTCCAGAGGAAAATGTGGATAAAAGAGGAAAGGTGAAGTCACCAGTTTGCATTAATAATCAGCCTTTTTTCTTCTGGTTCTTAATGTAAATAGATACAACAAAAACACTAATAATAACATAAATATGGACTGACATAAGTGCTTATCAGTCATATCGCCCAGCCAACAATAAAATCTTAAATTAAGTTTTAATATTTGTTGATTCTCAGTTAGAAAAACACGTTTTCCAGTTATTAAAATAATAAGCATCATCTGCACGTTCAATCGATGTTTGCTTTAGCTGTGCTGTTTCTTTGTTTCTCGTTTCCAGCTTTAATAAAACCTTGGCTCCCTCTAATTCAAACAGCAAATGAAGACAATAAACCTTTTCAGAGAGTTCTGCAAAAATGCCTTTGTTTACCTAACATTTTAAATTATGTTTTGGTTTGAACGAGGACACAAAAAGACCAAACWAACATGCCCTCGAACCGAATGACAATATGAACCAAACACAAATGAGTTTTTAACTCTTTGATTAGTTTTATTTTTCTTTAGAAAGGAGCAGACAACTGTTGAGGACATGAGGTTTTATTCTTTTGAAAGTGCAGTTGTTTCTGTATAGATCAGCTTGTTGAAAATATTTAAGGGGTTAGTTTAAGCTACCTTTTTTATTTTTAGGAATGGAGACTTAATTATCTGAGTTTTATTATTTAAGTTTTATTTGAGCAGAAACCGAAAACATTTTAAAAACTAAAGGTCGCCTTTGATGGCACACCCAACTTTTCTAGTTAAATAGTTAAACAAAAAATAAATAACTGCAGAGGAATTTAAAGACTGCTTTTGCTCATAATGTCCATCTCTCTAGCAGTGTGCCTCACATTTGTGTTTTGATTTAAGCTTGTCATAAAGTGAAGAGGTCAAAGGTCAGAAACTGTAAAGATATCTAACTACAGGTGCAATATACTGGTATAAGTGTGCTTGGTATCAGCAGTCCAAGCGGATTGCAACTCGGGTGGTCGCTGAGGCAAAAACCCGTGCGTGGGAGGAGTTCGGAGAGGCCATGGAAAAAGACTTCCGTACGGCTTTGAGGCGATTCTGGTCCACCATCTGGTGTCTCGGKGGGGGAAGCGGTTCGCCACAAACACTATTTATGGTGGGGATGGTGTGCTGCTGACCTCAACTCGGGATGTTGTGGGTCAGTGGGTGGAATACTTCAAAGACCTCCTCAATCCTACAGACACGTCTTCCCACGAGGAAGCAGAGCCTGGAGACCCTGGGTCGGACTCTCCAATCTCCGGTGCCGATATCACTGAGGTGGTTAAAAAGCTCCTCAGCGGCAGGGCTCCGGGGGTGGATGAGAATCGTCCTGAGTTCCTTAAGGCTCTGGATGTTGTGGGGTTGCGTTGGTTGATGCGACTACAATATCGCGTGGACATCGGGGGCAGTTCCCCTGGATTGGCAGACCGGGGTGGTGGTCCCCCTATTTAAAAGGGGGGACCGCAGAGTATGTTTCAACGACAGTATAGGGGGATCACACTTCTGAGCCTCCCTGGTAAGGTCTATTCAGGGGTCCTGGAGAGGAGGGTCCGTCTGATAGTCGAATCTCAGATTCAGGAAGAGCAGTGTGGTTTTCGTCCTGGTCGTGGAACACTGGACCAGCTCTGCACCAACAGCAGGGTCCTAGAGGGTGCATGGGAGTTCGCCCAAGCAGTCTACATGTGTTTTGTGGACTTGGAGAAGGAGTTCGACCATGTCCCTCGGGGAGTCTTGTGGGGGGTACTCCGGGAGTATGGGGTACCAGGCCCGTTGAGGCTGTGAGGTCCCTGTACAACCGGTGCCAGAGCTTGGTCCGCATTGCCGGCAGTAAGTCGGACTCGTTTCCGGTGAGAGTTGGACTCCACCAAGGCTGCCCTTTGTCACCGATTCTGTTCATAAATTTTACTGACAGAATTTCTAGGAGCAGCCGAGGTGTTGAGGGGATCCTTTTTGGTGACCATAGGATCACATCTCTGCTTTTAGCGGATGATGTGGTCCTATTGGCTTCATCAGATGGTGATCTCCAGCTCTCACTGGAGCCGAGTGTGAAGCGGCCGGGATGAGGATCAGTGCCTCCAAATCCGAGACCATGGTCTTGAGCCGGAAACCGGTAGCGTGCCGCCTCCGGGTCGGGGAGGAGGTCTTGCCCCAAGTGGAGGAGTTTAAGTATCTCAKGGYCTTGTTCACGAATGAGGGAAGAATGGAGCGGGAGATYGACAGGTGGATTGGTGCTGCATCTTCAGTGATGCAGGCGCTGTACCGGTCTGTCGTGGTGAGGCGAGAGCTGAGCCAGAAGGTGAAGCTCTCGGTTTACAGGTCGGTCTACGTTCCTGCACGAACTTTGGGTAGTGACCGAAAGAACGAGATCGCGGATACAAGCGGCCAAAATGAGTTTCCTCCGCAGGGTGTCTGGACTCTCCCTTAGAGATAGGGTGAGAAGCTCAGTCATCCGGGAGGGACTCAGAGTAGAGCCGCTGCTCCTCCACGTCGAGAGGAGCCAGTTGAGGTGGCTCGGGCATCTGGTTAGGATGCCTCCTGGACGCCTCCCTGGTGAGGTGTTCTAGGCACCACTGGAAGGAGGCCCAGAGGACGACCCAGGACAAGCTGGAGGGACTATGTTTCTCAGCTGGCCTGAGAACACCTTGGGATTCTCCCGGACGAGCTGGTCCAAGTGGCTGGGGAGAGGGAAGTCTGGGTCTCGCTGCTTAGGCTGCTGCCCCCGCGACCTGACCCTGGATAAGCGGAAGAAAACGGACAGACGGACGGACGAAGTGTGCTTGGCAGATACATTATAAAAAACCTCTAACATTAAAGTGCCTGTCAAATCAAATTTTTATAAAATATGAAAGCATTTTTCGAAAGATAGAACTGATAACATGTTGCAAAAAAAATACGCCTCTGAGATGATGAACAGTTGTTGATATATTTGCATGTGAAGTAACAGGAAGTGATGTCAAAGGGGAATGACAGAACACGAACAGAGCGTTTTAGTTCTTTTAACATTTGGACCTGCTTATCAAACTTTGTAGATTTTTACCATAATTTGAGCTGCCTAACAATGCTCAGCGTCTCATCTCCTGCTGTTTGGCAAAGACTTAGTTAAGATCACAGACATGAAACATATATCTGCTATATAACTAAATCAAACAAACCTAGGGTCAAAACTACTAACATTAAAAATACCTAACTTTATTTATTTATTAATATATTTCACCATCCAGAGTGTGCTTTGACCCCAGATCAACATTCATTAAAAACCATATTGTTGTCAGCGCMGCTGGTCAAACAGGAGCTGAGGAACAACATCAGGACAGACACACTTCACTGCTCATGTGTTTATCCCTGTTTAAATAAAGCTGCAGCACATGGGTCACTGCTCGCTGCCGGTTAAACTGTAACATGATCCAGCGACAACTAAGTGCGAAGGTTTCCCTCTGTATTCTAATCTTATAAAAGCTATGTCAAGGAAGCTTGTTAAATGTGGTATCATTAAACACAGTGAATAACATAAAAACCAAGGGTTTGTTTATATAAATTGCAACTAATTTGGAGAGCTGGCATTATTTTCACTCCTAAATATTTGGCTCAAGATGACTAAATTTGCATCCAGAGTTAAATTTAATGTGTTTTTAAAGCTACTTTTGATGAACAGCAGTGATTGTAAACAATGTTCTGGTAGAACTTTCACAAGTTGAAAACCTATTTGAAATGAAAGATATTTTTTCCCTTTTTTTCCCTCTTCTCTTTACGGCTCACAAACTCACCCTCTGGTGCTGGTTTAACGTCAGTGATCTTTAGGTGTGGGTTAGGTATCGGAGCTGGACAYACATCTTTACCCAGAGCGGGGACCTCCGGCAGGGTGAACACTATTTCATAACGATGCTGCGTCTTTAGGAAGCCAACCTGGAAAAGAAAGAAAAAAAAAGGGGGCAGAATTATTACACAAGTAGATGAAATACTGTGCTATTGTTTACCATCATGTTGTACATCATACTGTCCCACAGTGACAGAGACAGGTGAAGCAGGAAAATAAATAGAGAAGTTTATACAGACGGCAGCTGTAGCTCAGGGGATAAACTGATTGTCACTTCATTTGAAGTCTGCTTGTTTAATCTTCAGCTTCCCTAATTCACACACTGAGTGTTTTCCATCAAGAAACTAAACAACAAATTACACTTCATAAGCATTCCTCACTTAATATTCCCTTTGATTAAATGCATCGATTAATTTAAAGTCAAATGATGTGGGAAATAGGTTTAAGCATCATGAGGTCTGCAAAAAAGTGATGCATTTTAAATAAACTTCATAAATACAGATACACATCACTTTGATAAATCACAATCTAGCTCACAAGCATTTGCTAAACAGAAAATTGCACAGTATTACAGGAAAACATCTTTTTCTTACAGCACTTCAATTTACACCAAGTTGCAGCGGCGTCAAACGTAATCTTTGAGGGGGAAAAAGGTTTTAGATTGGTAAATTATTAGTTTTATTGTTTAACTACATAGCTCATGGCAAATCACAGCTTGGTACAAAAAAATCATATCTTTATTTACATTTCATGAGATGCTTGCAAATCATACCATATGCCTTACACAGAAGTGGGCAGTGGGCACAGCTAACCAAAAAGTTAGCTTTGCAACACTAAAGATGTAAAAAAAAAAAAGCAAAGCTAACTTTTATGCTAGCTGTAAAAATATTGCTTTGCTAATGCTAAAGATGTAAAATTAGCAGAAACTAACATTAACACCTAATCGCTAACAGCTACGACTGATGAAATGTGCTGACTGAAACAGACCTGTTGATGTTAGTTAGATGAAACCAGACTTAAAGTTGGCAAAACCTACTGTATGTATTCATGTATAACACTAGAAATGTAACAATAAAAATCATCCATAAAGTGTGTGTGTGTGTG